ACAAAGTGTAATCAATGCCAGAATAACATCATTAGACTGTGATTATCTATATTCCTAAAGCCTTTAGGTGATTAGCATTAATGAGACTTCAAAGGGCTCTAAGCTAATTGATACTGAAAGACTGACAAGATTACTATAGACTTCTGAATGACCTGAATTAGCCCAAATGTTGTCTCCTTAATTTTTTCCCTTACAGAAAAATGACCTGTGTTAGAAACTGATCAAGCTTGATATTTAAACCTCCCCACCCAGATGCCAGATGTTCCACTAGGGGAATATTACTCTAATGAACATTTTTTTCAGTTTCTTATTTTCACATTTGGGAAGGGTGAGGAAGAGTTTTTTATTTCTATAGGATCTAAGAGTTTGGGAGTCTTAAGACATAAAGTCCAAGGAGAGCTTTACAGTGAAGCTCTAGTATGCTTAATGGATGTCATTACAGATTGGGAAAGGAATCTTGTGAGTATGAGAATATTGCCTCGAGTATCTCAGAGATGGAAGGGACCTCAGAGGTCATTTAGTCCAAACTAAGTGAAGAAGCAAGGTCATAGTTGTTAGACCATCCTGGTTCTTGTCTTCTCTGTAGGTGGGTTGATGAGTGTTATGCTCACAATAAAAAAAGAACCTTTTAAGTGAATAAAAAGGAATGCCCTCTATGCCTCTAAAGCAGTGATCTCTGCTTTCCCCTCACACTGATGGGAAATTCCAAAGCAGCCCATTCTACTTATTCACTCTGGGTATTCGAAACATTTTCCTTAAATCAAGTTGAAATTTACCCACTGCCATTGGCTCTTCTCTTTGGGGTCAAGCAAGTGTGATTGCTCTTCCATGTGGTATCATTTCAAATGCTTAAAGACAGCCATATGTATGTTAACTCATTTGATCCTCACAATACCCCTATAAGAGGAGTACTAGAGGTATGATTTGTCCCCATTTTACAGATGAGGAAACTGTGATTTATCCAGGGTCATATAGCTAGCATATGTCTGACGATGTCTAGCAGAATTTAAACCTAGATTTTCCTGACTCTAATTCCTATACTGTATCTACTAGACCACACTGAGCCTCAAACAACGAAAAAATGCACAGTATACCTCAGTAGTCTCCAAAGAGGAAGCTCAATGGATATCTATCTACCAATCTACCAACTGGAGGACGGAAAGAAGGATTGCAACCCTTCCTTACCCCCATAGCCAATTGTGGGTCTTGTCTCTAACTTACTCATTTCTCTCTGTCTCTGTCTCTGTCTCTGTTTCTGTCTCTGTCTCTCTGTCTCTTTCTGTCTCTGTCTCTCTATCTCTCTTTGCCTCCCTCTCTTCCTTTCTCCCTCCCTCCCTCTCTCTCCCTCTCCTATAAAAATGCTCATTCTGAGCTGGCCTTTGCAAGGCAGTTATACCCTAACTTGGGCACCCATTGTAGCAACAGTCTTTGGCAGTTGATTGGATATGGGGTATGAGAGAGAACAGGGAGTTGAGGATGACCCCTAGGTTGCAAACCTGTGTGACTAGGGGGATGGTGCTACCCTCAAAAGTAACAGGGGAGTTAGAAAGAAGGAAGGGTTGATGTTCAAGACAGAGAGCCCCAAATGACACATTCTCCTTTCCTCTGGTAACCTCTCTTTGGGGTGGCTAGGTGGCACAGTGCGTAGAGTATGGGCCTGGAGTCAGGAAGACTCATCTTCCTGAATTCAAATCTGGCGTCAGACACTCACTTGCTGTGTGACCCTGGGCAAGTCACTTCACCCTGTTTGCCTCAGTTTCCTCATCTGTAAAATGAGCAGGAGAAGGAAATGGCAAACCACTGCAGTATCTTTGCCAAGAAAACCCCAAATGGGGTCATGAAGAGTTGGACATGACTGAAACGACTGAACCACAAACCTCATTTTCCCCCAGGACCTATGCAATCATCAGTGTAAGAAAGATAGTTCTTTTAAAAAGAAAGCTATTTGAGACGTTCCTGAATAACAGTGTCTCACAAAGCTGAGCAAAGCATTTGACTTAAAAATATCCCATACAACAGAAAGATAAGAAAGGAAAATAGCTACAATTATTTAGAAAGACTAAGCATTGAAACATTATTTCAGGTTTCTAGACCTTTTAAAAGAAACTACATAAAAGAGCAATCATCAAGAGTCAAAAATATTTAGTGGGATCTTAAAGAATGAAGACAAGGGAGGCAGTGAGGTGGCACAGCAGATGTAGCACCGGCCCTGAAGTCAGGAGGACTTGAGTTCAAATCCAACCTCAGACCAAACACTTGACACTTACTATCCGTGCGACCCTGGGCAAGTCACTTAACCCCAATTGCCTAAAAAAAAAAAAAAAAAAGAGAATAAACACAAAGGAAGAAGGAAGAACTGAATTAATGTAGACTAAATCCCATGTTCCCTTATTAGTGAACTATCTTCGGTTGGGGAATACAGGAAGTTTAAGAAGAGAGAGAGGAGGCAAGAGACAGAGAGGAGCTAGATATGAAATAAGGGTAATAATCATGGTGGGGCCCTCATCTACCAACATGATTGGGAATGAGAGAGTGAGACGCAAAGGGAGTACCTCACCTATAATTTCCCTTACTGGGTTTTCCCTATATATATTATCTCATTTGAGACTTTTAACAAACCTGTGAAGTCAGTATTGTCCTCATTTTGCAGAAGAGGAAACTGAGACTTGTTAAATGACTTTGCCAGGCTTACACAACTATTGGTTGTCCAGGGTCCAGATTGGAAGAAGTTTCTCTCCTGACTTCCAGATTCTGCTCTTTTGGAATTATACTGATTTTTACAGCTGTGGAAACCAAAGCTCAGAGATATGAAGCTCTTTGCCTACATTTAGCCAGTAAATGTCAAGTTAGTACTGCCCCATCTTCTGAGTTTAAGTTCAGAACTATTTCTATTAAATTCTATTCATCTCCCTCAAAGAATGTTAGTTGCAGTTAAAATCCCACCTTCTATGTCTTTCCCTTTCCCCCTTAATTCTAGAGCCTTCACTTAATGGAAAAAAAATGTGAAGAAAGGCAGCCTCATAATACAAGATTTCAAACTGTATTACAAAGTGTTAAAGCAATCTGGTACTAGCTATGAAATAAAGTGGTGGGCTGGTGGAATAGATGAGCTACACAATAAACAGAAACAGATGACCATAGTAATCTCGTGTTTGATAAACCCAAAGATCCAAGCTTTTGGGTCAAGAATTTAGTGTTTGACCAAAATTGCTGGAAAAACTGGAAAGCAGTTTGGCAGAAACTAGGCTTAGACCAACACCTCATAACTATATGTCAATATAAGGTTAAAATGGATACATGATTTAGACATAAAGGGAGATATCATAAGCAAACTAGAGGAGCAGGAAAAAATTTATCTGTTAGATCGATGGTTAAAGGAAGAATTTAGGATCAAACAAGAGAGAAGATCACAAGAAGTAAAATGGATAATTCTGATTAGATGAAATCAAAAAGGTTTTGTAAAAGAAAACTAATGCAGCCAAAATTAGAAGGAAAGCAGGAAACAGGAAAAAATTGTAGCATGTTTCTTTGATAAAGGCCTCATTTCTCAAATATATAGGGAACTGAGCCAAATTTATAAAAATAAGAGCCATTCCTCAATTGATAAATAGTCAAGGATATGAATAGGCAGTTTTCAGAAGGAAAAAAATCAGTTATTAATAGTAACATGAAAAATATTCTGAATCACTATTGATTAGAGAGATGCAAATGAAAATAACTCTGAGGTATCACCTCACACCTATCAGATTGGCTAACATGTTAGAAAAGGAAAATGACAAATGCTGGAGAGGATGTGGAAAAATAGGGACACTCATGTACCATTACTGGAGTTGTGAACTGGTCCAATCATTCTGGAGAACAGTTTGGAACTATGCCTAAAAATCTGTGCATACCCTTTGACCCAGCAATGCCACTACTAGTTCTACATCCCAAAGAGATCAAAGAAAAGGGAAAAGGACCTATTTGTAGAAAAATATTTATAGCTGCTCTTTTCATGGTGGTGAAGAATTGAAAACTGAGGGGATATCTATCAGTTGGGGAATGGCTTAACAAATTGTGGTATATAACAGTGATGGAATATTCTTGTGCAATAAGAAATGATGAGCAGGATGGTTTCAGAAAAACCTGTGAAGACATATATGAAGGGATACAAATTGAAGTGAGCAAAGCCAGAAGAACACTTTGCAAAATAATTGCAATATTGTAATGATGATAAACTGCGGAAGATGCTGCTACTTTAATTAATGCAATGATCCAAGACAATTCCAAATTCCATGATGAAAAGTGCTATCCACTTCCAGAGAGAACTGATGAACTCTTAATGCAGAGTGAAGCATACTTTTGTCACTTTAATTTTTTTTTTTGCAACATAACTAATACGGAAATGTTTTCCACGGCTGCCCACGTATACTCCATATCATATTGCTTGCCTTCTCAGTGGGTGGGGGAGGGGAGGAAAAGGGAGGGATTTGTAACTCAAAATTCTAAAAAATGAATGTTGAAATAAAGTATAATCATTTAAAAAATTCTAGTGCCTTCCCTCCGTTGATTTCTATTTTATCTTTATAGCTTGTTTGTACCTAATTTGCGGGTTGTCTTCTCCTTCAGATTGTAAGCCCCTTGAGGGCAGAGACAAGTCCTTTGCCTCTGTGTCCCCAGCACTGAGCACAGTGCCTGGCACACAGTAGGGGCTTGGAAATGTTTACTGACTTATCTGAGGACAGAGATCGTTTCACTCTGGACTTGAATCCCCAGCATCCAGCATGCAGCAGGTGCTACACGAAGCCTGAGATCTGATTACTTGCTAGATTGTTTGAGATGGTGCACAATGTCGCCGTAACGAGAGGTCCTGGGAAAGGCAAATAGGAGTGGCGGGGAGGGCAGGAAAGCAAGAGGAGGTGGTGGGCAGGGCCATCACCCGCAGGATGGGAGAGGCGCAGGTTCCTGGACGAGCAGGTGGAGCCTGAGGGGGACTGACTCGCGGAAGGGGAGGGGCACTGGCCCCAGCTGACTGACCAAGGCTGCCTCCCCGCCCGCCTCTGCTCCTGTCTCCTCCGCGCTCGCAGGTCCTGCTAGTGGCTTCCTGAGTCCCGTGGACGCTTCAAAGGGTAAGCGGGGGCTTGGAGGACTCTGGAGGAGCGCGGTGCCCGGGTCCGGGCTCTGGCCGCTGAAAGCTGCCCCCTTCTGCCCCTCGGGCTCCAGACCGCGGACTGGCTTCTCTCCTGGGAACCTCTACCTCTGGGAGTGCCAGGGGTTGGAAGGGATTGGGGGGGAAGGAAAATGGGGGGACTCCAAGTCACCCTGGGGTAAGAGGAGAGCCTCAGAGAACCGTAGAATTCTTTTCCTTTAGGAAGACTGCAAACTGGGTGGTCACCTCGCACGCATCCCAGACAGCTAGAGGATAGACGTGCTTGGCTGGAGGAAGACGAAAAGTCTTCAGTGTAGACGAAAGGATAAAAAAAAAAGAGGGGACTGTCAGTGGAAATTGGGAGATGAGACCTTTTTTTTCTTGGAGAAATTCAGTTTTAAAAAAAGTTGCAGAAAAATCAGAAATCAGCCACCCACCGTTTCCCTGTGAATTACTGAGTTGATGTTTATAACTTTGAGACTCAGAGTAATTGACGGCAGTTGGTGGTGTTTGGGGGACCTGTAGGAGAACCTCGGAGCTGGGTCCTGGAGAGGAATGGGCGGGGGCGAGGTCCAACAGCCCTTTGCGGTCCATAGTGGACTGGAAAAGGCTAGCCTCGAGGGATGTCATAGAAAGTAGTAGCTCTGCCCAGGAGATCACCAAAGGAAATGGGAGAGAAGCCTTCGCTGAGCCGCTGCCTGCCCCTCCTAGGCCACTGCGTCACCGCAGAAAACCCAGCCTGGAGAGGAAGGGAGTGGGAGACTTTAACAACAAAAAACTAAAGCCCTGCTGCACAAAACCTCCTTTTCTGACCCAGGCAGGTTGTGAAATAGGGGTGGAGGAGGAAGTAAAAGCACACTGTTTTCCCCCTGTTCCTGAGTTTACCAAGTACAAATATTTAACCAATTTCATTTAAAAAATGCATGTGACATTTGCCGTCTTGGAATTATCTGCCATAATTGGTTGGTGATAATAATTTAGACAGTAAAGCTTGCAAGATAAGCTTATGGTTTCAAAGTATTTCCATGTGGCTTAGTTATCCATTTGTGCATTAGTTCAACATTTATGAAATACCTACTATGTACTGTCACTATGCTGTGTGATGAGGGGGTCATCTAAGCCAACCCTCTCTTTTTACAGATGGGGAAACTGAGGCCCACTTTTTTGAGTGACTTGTCCACTGTCTCACAGATGGTTAAGTGTCAGAGCTGAGATTTGAGACCTTCAAATCTAGCACTTGACCTAACAGTTGAAAACTTTTATATAGTTACTTTTATATATATGTATACACATATATAAAAGGCAATTGGGGTTAAGTGAATTTCCCAGGGTCACACAGCTAGTAAGTATCAACCATTTGGTCTGAGGCTGGATTTGAACTCAGGTCCTCCTGATTCTAGGGCCAGTGCTCTATCCACTGTGCCACCTAGCTGCCCCTACCTTTTTATGTTTTTACCACTGACTCCTCATTCCTCTCTGTCTAGAGGAAAACAGGTGCTTTTTCTTTACCAAGTCTAACCTCTTCCCCTGGGCCCTTGGTCCCATCTTCTTCCACGTCTTTAAGAAGGACCTTGGTAGTCAATTTTTCTTTTTTTAATTTGCAGTCTCTCTGCTGTCTTCTTTGTTTGTGTTCATGACTCCCTTAGTCTTTCCCTCAACTCTGCTATCCCTACTACTTCAGTCCAATCTCTTTTCTTCCCTTAAAACGTAGCCTGGCTATTGTTATGGCATATGCCTATAATCCCTGCTCGTGGGGGAGGCTGAGGATGGTGGATGACTTGTTTTGGGTCTTTTGAGTCACAGTAGGGCTGAAATCAATTCTTTATCTGCACCAGTATAGTGGGCCCTCTGAGAGCTGGGGACCGCTAGGCTGCCTAAGAAGGGGCAAATTGAGCCAGGTTGGAAATGGAGCAGGTCAAAGTTCCCATGCTAATCAATCCTGGGATAGGACTTGTGAGTAGCTACTGAATTTCCAGTCTGGATGAGACAAGGAGACCAGTCTCCAAAAAAAAAAAAGTGGTTTTTTTTTGTTTCTTCTTTATCTCCACTTTTGACTTTCATGACACCACATTCCACTGCTGCTTTTCATACTTCTCTGGCCACTCTTCTGTCTCCATCCCTGCTCCTTTCATTCCTCCCACCACTTATGTTATCTCCTTGCTCTCTTATCTCTCTTTCTACTAATGTTGGCTGGCTCGCCTGAGCCTTCCTGCCTTGCTTCGTGTAAGCATGTCATCTTATCTCTCTTTCTTGAGGATCTCCCTCATTTTATCAGCTTCGGGGATCGTATCTGTGTGAATCACTCCCTGTCTCTATCTCTCTTCTGACTTCAAACCTGAATTTGTAGATGCCTCCTGAACATCTCATTGGTGGCTCAAACTCAGCTGTCCTATACTAAACACTGTCATTCCCCAAACCTATTTTTCCTCTAAAGTTTTTGATTTCCACCAATGGCATCACTCTTCTCCTAGTGACCTATATTAGCAGCCTCAGTGTCATCTCTGACTTTTCCTACTCATCTCCCACATGCAATATCATTAAGTCCTATCAATCCTATCTCTTTAATATCTCCTATAGCCATCATTTTTTTTTTCATTTCTATTGCCGCTGTTGAATTCAGGTTCTATTACTTAAACTAATGCAGTAATGTTCTAGCTCAGTATGACAAGTAAGACAAGAAAGTGTGTGGGGGGGAAGGGGACAGGTTATGAAGGCCTTTAAAAGCCAAATGTTGAGTCATTTTTCAGTCATGTCCAACTCTTCATTACCCCATATGGGATTTTCTTGGCAAAGATACTGGAGTGGTTTGCTCATTTCCTTCTCCAACTCATTTTACATTTAAGGAAACAAGGCAAACAGGATTGAGTGACTTGCCCAGGGTCACACAGCTAGTAAGCTATTGGAATTGATGGAATAGGAAGGTAATGTGGTCAGATATATACTTAAGGAGGAATAATTTAACAGCTGGGATGGAGAGAGACTTGAGGCAGGCAGATCCACCAACAGGCTATTGTAATAATCCATTAGAGTGGTGGTAGTGTCAGAGGAGAGAAGGGGACCTAATCAACAGAAGCTGGGAAGATAAAATTGACAGGACTGGGCACCCAGTTGGATGTGGAAGGGTGGAGGAGGTGAGAGAGCTGCCTCTAGCTCCAGCCTGCTCTTCCTCTGATCCATTCTACTGATTAAGCTTGGTCTTTTTATTCTGAGTGTCCAGCACAGTGCCTTGCACATAGTAGACACTTAGGATATAGAGGTTGGATTGGTTTAATCTTAATAAAGAGCTTATCAAATAATGCCACTCCTCTGCTCCTGGGGGTAGACAGGGCAATAATAATAATAACCTTTGAATGTATTTAGAATTTGCTAATCAAATGAGATTTCTGTAAAACACAGCATAGTGCCTGGCACATAGGAAGTACTTAACGAATGCTCGTTCCCTCTCATCCCTACTAAGTGTCTTCCACACAGCATCCCCGGGAGTTGGTAGCCCAAGGATTATTGTCTTCATGGTGGTTAAGTGGCTTGCTTCTGGTCACAGGACTAGTAAGTAGTTCCATGGCGGAATAAGAGTGCTTGTGTATGGTGTCAGACTTTTAATTGTTTCTGACTCTCTGTGACACCATTTGGGGTTTTCTTGGCAAAGATACTGGAGTGGTTTGCCATTTCCTTCTCTAGCCCATTTTACAGATGAGGAAAACCAGGCAAACAGGAGGAAGTTACTTGTGCAGGGTCACATAGCTAATAAGTGCCTGAGGCCAGATTTGAACTCAAAAAGGTGAGTCTTCCTGACTCTCGGACTAGTACTCTTTCCGCTACACCATCTAGCTGCCGAGTGTTTGGTTAGCGTTTAGACTAAAATTCTTTTAACCTTCCAATTCAAAACTTATTTTATGCAAAGGATTTGTAGTGCTGGTTTTTGTTAACTTTTGGGATGGGAGGTAGGGGCAGGAAGGGTATAATTAAACATCATTGGATGTTTAAAAATAGTTCCTGGACCAGGGAGAAAGTATTTTAATTTCTCAACCAGATCTGAAAATAACCCAGTAAGTGTATTTAAATAATGGATCCTCATGGGAAATATGCCTTGGATTCTTTGCCAGGACTCCTTCCAGGAATTGTTCTCTTTGTTAGCATGGTAAAAAGCTTCGCGAGATTTAGTATGGGGGGCATCCTTCTACTGAAAAATCTGACTTTTTTATGCTATGTCAAAGAAGAGAGGGATTGAGGGAGAAAACATGCCTATTGCATCATGAGAATTATTAATGGAGGTTTCTAAATCAAATCAGGAAACTATTGGTTAGGCCTCAAAGGAGGCAAAGTGAAGATAGCTGTGGCCTGAGCAGACCACATGGGGCTATTTGGTCTGAAATATGGGAAGAGAAGTCAAGGCTCAGCATAGTTTAATTGAATTTTATAGAAGAAGGAAAATTTGCAAAGTCCTCAAACTCAAGGATTACATCTTCTTTATCTTCTGTGCATGGGGCAGTTCTGCAATAAATGTTTTTGTGGAATGGCCAAAGAAATATATCAATAATTTAATATTTCAATTAAATGTTTTCTTTAGTCTTCTGAAAAATCCATTCGTTTTGTCTTCTGATTATTGGGTGGGTAAAGAGAAAAAGTTGACGTAGGGTTTAACCCATCTTGGAGTTATAGTATTTATACTTAATTTGTTGAGTTTCTCTTTTTCATAGGTGGGCAAGTCCTCAGCTTGAAGTGAAAGTGGGATATCATGGCATCAGTGTGGGTGAGTAAAGACCAAAGCATTTTTCATAGCTTAGATTTTCTGAGAACTTTGGCCAAAGCAACCCTTTTTTCCTGACCCTTCTTTCCACCGTTGCCTATCCAGATTAAAACAAAAAACAAAACTGGGAAGTCTGTAAGGAAGCCACTTTGGAATAATAAATCAAAAGTATTTCAAAGAAAACTAACCGTACACCAAAGCTCACAAAGAGAGTAATTTTCAAAGGAAAAGGAAAAAAAGCCCACTCTGTGAGATGGGCAGGAGGAAAGCAGGAATGGCTCATCAATTCAAGTTAATTAAGCATTTATCAAGCAAGTACCTACTCAGTTCCACAGGCTTTTTGCTAAATGGCACTCATACTCACTTTTATTTCTGTCCATCATGTCAGGAGAAAGAAATAGAAGGAAGAAAGGGAGTGGATGGATTAGAAATAGCAGAAAGTAGGGTTGGTTAAAAAAAAATAAAGGTAACAAGATAGAGAAGGAAGCCAAGGGGGAGAGGAACTAGTGAGAGGACAAGAGACATTGGAAAAGAAGGGGAACAGGAATGGAACAATTGTAAGGGAATACTGGCTTTACTGTAAGGCTCCAATATACAGAGCACTGGACTTGGAATCTGGAAATCTGTTTACCCTGATACTGATCATGAGCAAGTCACTTCACTCCTCTGAGCCTCAGTTTCCTCATCTGTAAAATGGAGCTAATGACATTGGCACTATGTACTTCATGAGGTTTTTTTCAAGGACAGCACTTGATAGACCTTAAAGCACTGTGTAAATGTGAATTATTATTATTATTATAAATTAGAATGTTGAGGATAAAGTGCCACATGTCAAAGATTTTTTATTGGATTCTGCCCTCATCTGTCCCCTCCTCATCCCTCTTAAACTAGAGTTGGTAAGGTTCAGGTGATGGAGCATAGCAAATTTTGTCGCATTCACCAGTTCCCTTAGTTGCACCTGTAAAGTAGTTGAACACAAGTGAAATTGTTTCTAATTTCCTTAATTAAATGTATATCTGTAGTTGGTAGGATAGTAACACTACCAGAACACTTCTATAATTACTGTCATGGAAAAGACCAATGCAGGTCAAATTGTGAAGCAGAGAAAGTTTATATTCAGGGCTTCCACTTCGTTCATGCCCACCTGGATATCCACCCTTGGGGTCTACTCTCCTTGTCTGAATTATTTTGATCCCTAAACACCCAGGTTGAATCATAACCGAGTGGCTTTTGCCCTTTCTTTCCCTCAGATGAATTTTACCTGTCCTGTATCACCTCAGGTTCTTTGTGCCTTTCAAAACACCTAAAGTTTCAGTTCAATTTAAACACCAGTTATGAGCTAGGTGTGAAGGTATAAAGACAAAACGGAATCATCCTTGACCTCAAGGTGCTTACATTCAGGGAAGTAGGGTTTGAGGGAGAAATAGAACATTACAGAAATGAATAAATGCACATACAAAATAATAGAAAATGATTCAGAAAGAAGGAGAGAGAAAGAGAGAGAAGAAGGAGGAAGAGAGAGAGAGAGAGAAAGAAGAGAGGGAGAGAAGGAAGTGAGAGAGGAGAGAAGAGAAAAGAGGGAGGGTGATAGAGGAAGAGAGAAAGAGAAGGAAAAAGAGGAAGAAAGAAAAAAGGAGAGGGAAGGTAAGAGACAAAAGAGAAGAAAGAGAGGGAGAGAGAGCTAGCTAATAATTGAACAGCTAAAGAAACGTCTCCTGAGCTGTACTTTAAGAGGAGCCAGAGAATCTATGAGGCAGGAGTGAAAAGAGAGAACATCCCAGGATATGAGGGACCACTTGGGCACAGCACAGAGGTGGGAGATGTCCTGAAATGTACAGAGAACAGCAAGCAGATAATTTTAACTGGAATGGGGAGTGTTTGAAGGAGACTAATGCAAAATGACTGGAAAGAAAGGAGCCAGATTGTAAAGGATTTACAAGCTAGGCTGAGGATTTTGTATTTTATCCTTGGGCAAATAAACAGAAGAACACCACAGGGGAACAGAAAGACTATTTGGAGTAAGAAGATCTCACCTTCAAACCTGGCCCTGCCACTTCTTAGCACCCTCTGAGCTTTGGGCTCCTCATCTGTAAAATGGATGGCTTGGGCTACATGATATCAAAGCTTCCAGCTTTAAAGGTAGGATCCAGTGTGAGCCAAAGGAGATTTTTGAGGAAGAGGACGACATGGTCAGATCTGAGTTTGAAGAAGATCATTTAGGCAGCTAAGTGGAAGTGAGTTGGAGAAGGGAGATGCTTGAGACCAGTTATGAGGCTGTACTGAAGAACTGTAAAGAAGAAGCTGGTGAGAGATGGACATAGAAGCTATTGTATTAAAAAGAAGATAGAGCACCGGCCCTGGAGTCAGGAGGACCTGAGTTCAAATCCAGCCTCAGACACATAACACTCACTAGCTGTGTGACTCTGGGCAAGTCACTTAACCCCATTGCCTCACCAAAAAAAAAAATTGGACAAGAAAAGAGGACTGGAAGAGAAGGATGCTTTATCTGAGTAAAGTTGTGATAACACGTGTATGCATTGCCAATGATATTCTTGGAAAAAATGGCCTTACTTTTTGCCAGGTAACTTAGAGTAATGACATTCATGCGAGAAATTTCAGGTCAAAGAAGAGGGCAGGGTGTCTGGCGGGAGAGAGACTGGGGACAGAAACATCTAAGGTTTCTCAATTCTTGTCACCTATGTGGCCTGTTAGAATGGTGGCTCTTAGTAGGAACCTAACTAGGAAAAGAAGGGGGGAGCTCTGTCCAGTTCCTTAGCTGAGCTTTGTCTGGGATATCCAACTTTATCCATTGTCCCTACCTGCAGCTGCCCTTCTGTCCATTTTATTCTTGTTCAGTCATTTCTGACTCTCCGTGACCTGATTTGGGGTTTTCTTGGCAGAGATACTTGAGTGGTTTGTCATTTCCCTCTCCAGCTCATTTTACAGAGGAGGAAACTGAGACACTCACCGCGGGTCACATAGCTAGTAAGTGTCCGAGGCCAGATTCCAACTCAGTTCTTCCTGAATCTATGAGCTGCACCACCTAGCTGCCTTCTGTCCACGTGGCTATTTAAAATTCATACATGGGGGCAGCTAAGTGGCGCAGTGAATAGAGCCATGGGCCCTAGAGTCAGGAGGACCGGAGTTCAAATCCAGCCTCAGACATCTGACAACTTGCTATGTACCCCTGGGCAAGTCACTTAACTCCAACTGCCTTGCAAAAAAACAAAAAAACAAAAAAAAACCCTCATGCATAAACATTGACTATTATGTTATGCTATGTTATATGCATATACACACAATGTATGTTTCCTTTGGGTCCTAGTATCATTTACCCCACGGCCAAAGTTCTATATAATTAACTGTCTTTCCTGGACTTTGCTTTTTTGTATTCCAGCTAATATGGGCATTTTCCCCATTTTGATTAGGACCTTCCTTATCAGGGTGGTTGCCGCTTCCTGTCTGGTGTATATACAACCAATGTTTCTTCTTTGAGCAAATATTAGGAAAAAGCAAAGCTTAGACAGTACACAAAGAGTCCTTAATAGGAAGTCGAGAAAGAATTGGACCCAGACTTTAAATCCAGGGAAAATGTCACAGATGACCATGAAGCGGCAGCTGGGAAGAAGCTTGGAGGATCCTGGGAGTAACAAAGGGGGCTTTGCAGGGATGATTCACATGAATTCATTATACAGTGCTTCTTAATCTCTTTGGGTTTCCAAGGGCTATCCAGATCAATCTAGGCTATCCAGTGTGAGCCCAAACTACCATCACCACCACTGCCACTACCAGCTCTGTGATCCAGGGCAAGTCACTTAGAATCTCTCAAAGCCTCAGTTTCCTCATCTGTAAAATGAAAGGGATGGACGTCATCACCTCCAATGTCCCCTCTGGCTCCAAGTTTACAATCCAATAGCTCTAGGATATTGTGATCATCTGACCTGTTTCTATTGCATTTCAAGGTTTTACAAAACATATTCTTTATGATGTCACTGTAAGGCAGGTAATACAGGTATTCCTATTTTATGATTTAAGAAATTGAGGCTTTGAGAGGTAAAGGGACTTAAAGGGGCCAGATTTGTTGTTATAGGACCTGAGTTCAAATCCTGGCTTTGCCACTTAATGTGGGTGTGACCCTTGGACAATCAAGACCACTTGTTAAATGCCTACCATTTGCCAGGCAACTGTGCTTTGTGTTGGGCATACAAAGATAAAAATGAAACAGTCCCTGCCCTTTTCCATTGTGCCCAGTCTTTGGAGCTTCTGGGAGAGCCAGAATTCACAGTGGAGCTAAAGGATTGCTTTCAGGGCCGCTGTCCCCAAATTCCCAGAATATGGAATCATAGCATTTCCATCCTCTCCCATGAGCTCTCCCCAGTCCCAGGTGGAGCCTTTGTTTTTCAGTTTATCAGTAGTGGAAGGATGCGGATTTCCTCATTTGTGCTTTGGCAATGGTGAAGGAGTTATTTAGGCAGACCACTCCCAGTGACAGGCCACTCTTGCAGAAATGAGCTGAACAGGCCCAGATCGCTTCTTGACCCCGTCTTGACCCCGTTCTTCCTGAATCACATGCAGCACTGTCAGAGTGGTGCCAATTCTCTCCTCAACTTCTTACCCATGACATGCTCCAAATCCTCTTATTCTAGGGAAGTCCCTAACGAGACTCACTATGTTTGATAAGATTCTGCTTCCTATTAGTTTGGAAACAAGCAGTTAAGTTCTGAAATGTTCACTTTGCAGAAAAATCACAGGCCCTCTTTTCAGATGTTGTGGACTCCAGGCACAACACAGATGTTGGCAACCCATAAAACTTGCACCAGAGAGTTGAACATCAAGCCCTCCCGCTCTAAATGAATCAATTAGCAAGTATTTATCAAGTCCCATAATTGTTCTCTCTGTTCCCGGTATGTCTCCTTTCCAAGGCATCCTCTACAGTTAACAAATTAACATTCCTAAAACATAAGTCAGATAACACTGTTCCCTTGATCAAAAATCTTCAGTGG